GAAAGAGACAATTGCAAATATGTGCATGTATATGTGACATTAAATAAACTAATTGAAAACAACACTTTTTAATTATAACATTTGTGATATGTACAAAATCTTTATATTAATTTAGATAGACACACACAAAAAAAAAGTGACTTGAGATTACTATTTTAATACTGACCAAAAGGTAAAATATTTCTCCATTGAGATGTTAATATTTGTCACACTTTGCTTGTACCAAACCCGCGATCCACATGTTCCAGGAACCTTCTTTTCATTTCATACATCTTAGGGATTTCCCAAAATTTTAAAATTAAATTACGTTAAATTAAAGTAAAGAAAATACTTTCATGAGATGAAAACACAACTTTTGGGACAGTTCAAATTTTCATACAGGGCAAGAGAAATTTTCCAAATTTCATACCCTGATGGATATCCCATAAATCTGTTAGACATTTAGATAACATACCCCTATATTATGCAAGCATTAGGCCTTGCACATATCAAATAGAAATTTCTTAAAATCATAGTAAGTATGCTGTAAAACTTACCTGTTCTGTATTTACCAAAGCATGCATTGAATTAACAATATTCTGAAAATCTAAACAAGTTCACAGTTAGTAGTATAACTTTACTAGCTCAGTAAATTAACTTCAAACTCCAAAATAACAAGACAAATTCTGACTCAACATGAGCTTATAGTACTTACTTGCACACAAAACATACAGTATGAGAAAGGAAAGATGCTAAATCCAAAGTATCCCTATAAAAATTTGCTAACCTGTCACAATAGAAGTCTTACACAATGCCAGTTACTGTGAAGCACTGAGGAACTTCAAGTACCTGATACTTTCAAAATGTTTTTTACTCAATAATTAGATACACCAACATTCAGTGAAAGAAAGAACAGATACACAAGAGTAATAATTGTAGCTTTGTATAGTATGTTTTGGTTTAATATACATGAAAAGAATGTTAATACATTGTCAGTGTGTGTGTGTATACAGGATGTAAGTTGACCTACAAAGCAAGCCAAGTCATTGAAGATAAACAAAACTGTCCATGCACCACTGCCAAGAATGACACTCTACAATTTCAATGAAATAGAATTGGAGGTCAACACTGAAGATAAATCTTATGTCTACTGTACAGAATACAGTTCAAGCTTTAAGTCAAAACAGGTAACATGTAGCTGTAAAATAATTTCTGGAAAACATCAGTCATCACTTCATGAACACCTGAGTCTTGCCAACTACACAGATAAAACTGCAGAGGTTACTTAAGGACACATATAAACTACTAGCTTCATAAAAAAAAAGTTCAATTCCTTGTATAGTGCTACCAAGGTCTTCCTGGAAATTACATGTTGCATTTAAAAATTCCTACTAAGGACCAAACATAATATTGTTTTCAATTACACACACTATAGGTCTATTAGAACCTAACCAATCTTTAGATTGACAGAAAAATGTTTTTAAATGTACTTGCATGGTTCTTCTATAATTAACTAAATTATTTCTAAATGAAAAAGTGTCATATTCCTATTGCAGTACTCAACTTGTATTAATACTTATAAAGCTGGCACTATTGTCAAACAGATGTGCCAAGTATATACTGTGTATATATATATACACACACACACACACAGATCCTTAAGTTGTTGGGCAAGGCTGAACATGTGTTGCCATTGCCATCTATCCATGAAATACCAAGAAATGTTATATTTGTTAAGGTAACTTGCAAGAACTCTATGCTTTCTCAGTCACATAAGATAAAAGAATTTATATCACACTTATTAGAATTCAGCAAAATTCTCTCATCTTATGTGATAAAAAATATATACAATATAATTATACACATGAAGTTCTTTTCACTATCATTTGTCTTTTTGAATTTCCTGATATAATTCTAAACAAATTACATATGTACATAAAAGAATGTTAAGAAAGCTTCTTGATTTATATCTACATTGTGGCAATCTAGGAATTTATGCTAAGTTATTCTTGTTACCATATAATAATTCTAATCTTTATTAATTACAATACAAAAATACTTAAAATTTTTAGACTTGGAGATTACTCTTAGGATTTAAACAAATACATAAATAATTTACAGTTTTGATCTGTCTCTCTAGCACATGCATGTAGTAATAACGAAAAACAAGTCTGCATTATTATATTTACACATATTTATTTATAAACTTACATTCCAAATTCTCTGCATAGAAGTGATATCACACCATGGATCGTTTAGGAAATCTCATAAGTTGGATACATATTTGAAATCAGTCTTCTAAATTACTGGTGAAAACTAAGTAATTTGCCATAGGTTATTTTGTTTTTGTTTAAGCACAAAGCTATGCAATGGGCAATCTGTGGTGTGCCCATCATGGCTACTGAACCAAAATTGTTAGTGCATAAACCCTCAAGCTTACCACTGAGCCACTGGGGGGTGGGGCTCTGCCACAGTTGCCTTTCCTCTAGTCAGCAGTTTCAAGTTAGTGACAGTGACAGGTAGAAACTCTGCTATACGAAAGACAGGACAAGCAAATTTGGTGGCAATTTTTCTATTACTTGGATATTTTTGATTAATTGAAAGCAGTAACAATCAGTGTGTGTTTTGTTATAGCAAAGCCACATCAGGCTATCTACTGTGTCCACCGATGGGAATTGAACCCCTGCTTGTAGCATTACAAATGCGAAGACTTACCGCTGTCTCACCAGGTGGGTATAATAATTGAAAACCATAATTTTAATTAGTTGTTTATTTTTTGAAAATTGATTTAATTATAATTTTAATTAATTGATTATTGGAATAATCAGACACTAATATGATTAATTTATTAGTTTATGTGACATTACTCAACCTACTTACTACTCGTAGCTCTTAGCTTGCAACTGTACTTCAAGTTTAAATGGTTATGCTAACATTAACAGCAAAGAGACAGTGAAAGAAAATATTGGACATTCTAAAGATTTAAATGGAAACCTTATTGTTGATGAGAAATGCATGGTTCATGTGACATTACTCAACCTACTCACTACTCGTAGCTCTTAGCTTGCAACTGTACTTCAAGTTTAAATGGTTATGCTAACATTAACAGCAAAGAGACAGTGAAAGAAAATATTGGCATTCTAAAGATTTAAATGGAAACCTTATTGTTGATGAGAAATGCATGGTTCATGTGTTAAAAACGTTTTTGCTACTGATTTACACACGTTAATGATACTGAATATCTAAGCTGTTTAAAACATTTAATTTCTTAGATAATATTAGTATTAACTGACAGTAAAGATCCTGGACATTATGAAATTGATCCAAAATTAAAACATTAAAATGACTAAGTAATAAGTTGCCGGAGGTCTTAAACCAAATCTTCTAGAGATCTATAAACACAACGAAGATTCCTGAGGAGTGGAAAATAGCCAATGTAATACTTATTTTTAAAAAAAAGGGATCTAGGGAAAACCTAAAAAATAACAGGCCAATTACAAAGCACAAATATGGTTTTGGGATGTATTTACAGAAGTTGTGAGTTCAAGAGTAAGGAGGTTATAACTGTGTACAAAACTTTGGTAAGCCTCATTTGAAATAGTGTGTTCACTTTTGGTCTCCCTTATGATAGAAAATCTATTGATTTATTTGTAGAAGTATAGGTGGGCTACCAAAATTATTCCTATTTTACTTAAAGAACAGGGAGTCAAAGATTCGAACTTGTTTTCTCTGAAGCACAGAACTAGAGGTGATCTGACTCAAATGTTCAACATAACATTACAGACAACAAGGAACTATTTAGTCCTATACTCACTCCTAAGCAAAGGTAAAAATGTAAACCCACCCTTTGGTTTTTAGGAAATTATCTATTTTCCTATTAAACTATTACAACATTAAATACAGATAACATGGAACCATTTGGTCTTTTACGACAATTGTTGTATAACCACCCTTTACTTTTTAGGAAATCGTTAATTCCCCTCTTAAACTCTTTTAAAGTGCTGGCCTCCACTACCACTAATGGTAACTTATTCCATAAGCTAATCACTGTGTTGAAAAAATAAAACTGTCTTAACTGTATCTTAGTCTGTCTTTTCCAAATCTTAAACTAATGTCCTCTCATTCTATCATCTTCAAATATAGTAAAATAAATCAAAGGCCTTGTAACCTTCAATAAGAACACAAAGGTACCCTTCTTTTCTCAAGATAAATTATTAAATGTTAACCTATTCCTGTAAGATAAGCTTTCCATCTCTAGAATCATACTGGTAGCCCTCCTGTGAATTATTTCCAGTACAAAAGTCAGTATCCAAGTGTTCTAAGTGAAACCTAAATAGTATAGAGATAATTACCCTTATTGTGTTAAAATCAATATGTCGATAGATACACCCTAAAATCCTGTTAACTTCACTACTGGCAACAGAGCACTGCTTCCAATGGCTTAATTGATTTATCCACCACTATGACAAGGTCTTATTCTTCAGTGATGCTATAAATCAGAAGACTACATGGGGCTTTCCACATGTCCTGATTCTCATCCTCACTCAACAAACACAAAACTAGTCACTAAATCCAGTAACTAATACTAAGACCTACTGGTTTTACAAGTTACAGGCATTAAATATATTACTAATAATAATATTACAATAGCTAGTTAACCTTTCCACATTTATTTATATTTATAATTTTGGATGTCAGCATGCTTTTACTTCTGTAATACATATGTAATAAAAAATGAATATTTTTATACCACATGAACATTATGATAAGACTAATGCAATTTTAGCTGAAAAATATACTCGATTTATTTATTAACTTAACAAGTTACCCCTTTTACGATTTGATAATGATAGAGTAAAATGATAAACAAAAACACAGACTGAAAGTAATAGAGTGATAATAAAATCCTTTATAGTTATACGCAAGTTTAAGTTATCCAGATACTACAAAAATTATCATCAAAAAATTAATTTAAAAATGAAAAATACAACAACTAGAAGTAAAACTACGTTTAGACCTACCTAAAATTAAGGAAAACGAGGCTGATTTTGAGATAGATTGTCCGTGGCATACGTGCTCGTTGTAGTAATCAGTTGTAGTCACAAAGTTTGAATAACGCGCGAGGAAGGCATAATAAAGACGCACTTGACATTGAAACACAATCGTCGTTCTTGTGTTCATCGTATGTGTTTTCCCTGTATTTGTTATTTCGTATTTCTTTCATATATTTCTTTGTGTTACTTTTTTTAAATAAAAGTCAGACGTCTCTATAAAATTTGAAGATTAGGTAAATACCTTAGACTGTGAGAGGACAGTTTTAGACTTTTAAACGTGGAATTTCAAGTATCGACAAAGCCTACGTACTACTTCTACTACAATGTACAAATGAAACTGTTTTCAGGTTTTGTGCGCAAAAAAACGAAGTGGCAACATCAATACAAACCGACATACTCTTATTGTCCCTTACTAAAAGATGGCAGACTATAAAAATTATCAACATAAATTTAATATAAATGCCAAGAGACTTGTGTTAATGTAAAACAGTGTCAAATATGAACTTGAGAATAACAAAAATCGGTGGATTGAATTTCAGTATAGTAGTTATACGCAGGGAATATTAGAAGAGGTTTAGATCTGACGGTGGGAGAGGAGCTTGCATGAGCTGTTAAGACGTTCGACTCGCAATCCGCCTGTCGCTGATTCGAACCCCGTCACCGAACATGTTCGCCTTTCAGCCGTGGAGGCATTAATATTTAACGGTCAATCCCACTATTCACTATAAAGAGTAGTCTAAGAATTGGAGGTTGGTGGTGTTGACTAGCTCCCTTCCGTCTCATAATTTAGTCTATCACTTCAAAATTAGAGACGGCTAGCATAGATAACCCTGGAGAAGTTTTGCGAGAAATTGAACAAACGAGTGTTGTGCAGTTTATAGTAACAATCTGCTTATCCAGTCATCTCACCCCTAGCCATCCTCGTGACCTGTAAAAACTCTGACCCTCTTACTGTATTTCGGTTAAAGTGTGCTGACGAACCTCGAGAAGAAAAGGAAGGCGTGATTCCAACAAAGAAAAAAACAGAATACTTTACGGGAATTCATGCTATAACATTCGTAGGTATCTCACACGGGCTTCTGTGCCTTTGAATTGTTCAAAAAGTCACTCGGAAGTCGTTTGATAAATATAAAAAAAGAAGTAATGAAGAGGAAGGCAATGTTGACTTCAGTGTGTTGCGGAAAAGCCTCATGTAGAATAATAACCTTTAACCAGTGTCAATACATCCATCGCCAGTGGAAGAATAATGAACACAACAACAAAACACATTAAGGGTATTATTATCACAGGCCAGATTCTAGCTAATTTGAACAATTTAGATATTGAAAAACAGAAAATATAGCATCTTTTCACTAGGCAAAATATTGTACAATTGTGTTTATACCACAATATTATGCTAGACAAAAGTCCCAGTGTCGTATTCAACAATTATAGATTATTCTTGGGTATGACTAACACCCCAAGAAAGCGATGACACAGTAGCAGGGCCAAGCAAGTATAAGTGCTTTGAAAGGACCACTGAGATTTGTAACCCTAGTTTGAAACGAGAATTAATGCAAGTTGACAACTATTCACACCTTCATCACAAAATATGAAATAAATGCAAGAAACTACACGACAATTAAAAAAATATATATACCAGAACATGTCTGAGGAGAAATATGGTGTTTTCTCCGTTATGAATGATTTAAACATAGTAATTTCCAAACTCCTACACTGTCATTGTAAAGAATTTATTTCGTTGTATTATAAAAATCATTTGATCTAAAACATTCATATATTTCTATTTCACTTTAGACTATTCCAATGTAGCTTTAAAAAAAGAATACATACATATTTTGCAATAACAAAAGAGGGAACTAAGATCAGTTTAGTTTAGATATTTGACAAAACACATACACATGCTCACGCATATATATATATATATATATATACACTAGCTGGAGTACCCGTCTGTTGGACATGTGACATAAAAACTCGTTTGTAACAAACGATAGGGAACTGTGCTTCTATTTTGTTTTTTTTTTTTTACATAATAAACATTAAAAGTGCAATAAAAATACATAAAGGTATCAATACTGAAAAGAAAAACATACTGCTTTCAAGACTTCTATCAATATGAAATTAGATGGAGGGTCCAACCCCCTCATGACCTTCCTCATGTCATCCTGTATCTCTGTGTCAAGTTTGATGCCGATTGATCAAGAAATGTAGAAACGTAGAAGGAACATGTACACACACATATTGATGTTTATATATATAAATATACTAGCTGAGTTACCCCGCGTTGCACGGTGAAAATTTAGATTTGAAATGTATAGATCAGTATTTTTTTCGGCAAATTATTCAGAAAGTAGACAAAAGCTGTGATGCGAGAAATAAAAAAGCATTTAATCAAACAAAGCTTTATTTGAAATTAGATCGTGTTTGAGCTTGTCTTGTTCTTTGAGCCTGAAGTCGTACATCATGTTGCTCCTCTGTTTCTTGCTCTCTGTAAGTTATTTGTCTTAAGTTTTGTGCTTGAAGTATGGTTTGACGTTTTTCAGAATTTTCTTGACGTCTATATCCAGCTTGCCTTGATGATTCTGACTGAACTCTAACTTTGTGCTGTTCAACAGTTTCTTGCTGTCTTTGAGTAGCCTGCCTTTCAACTTGAGCACGAAGTCTAACATTACGTTGTTCCAAAGTCTCTTCCTGTATTTGAGCAACCTGTCTTGCAGCTTGTGCTTGAAGTCTTTGATTGCGTTCTTCTTCTGTTTCAGCTGCTCTTTGTGCTTGCATTATTTTAGCGGCAGAAGACTTTCTATAGAAAGGGCATTTCTTGGGTGGCATAATCACCTGTATCACTAAACAATAATTTGGAATTCACAAAGTTACTAAATCACTTATGCAACCACTTAGCACTATTTAAAGAAAACTGTTTTTGGAAATACTGAATTGACAGCAAGGTGATCTGAGTGTCTCCATCGCCATAACGCTTTCTATGTGAATTTCTATGTATTACAAAAAAATGGCGCAATAATCATTAATTGTCAATTTCGTCATTAAATACTACACAAAATGCAAAATAAATAGCACCACTAAATTTCTTGTAAAAACTGGTTGTTATGAAGTTATTTTAAAATTTGTAAGTTCAGCCATATGGTTTCCTATAGCGAACAAATAAACAAATAGACAAACTTCCTCTTTTATATATACATAGAGAAAATACGCGTTTTTAGAGGTTTTGAGACCTATGATTCTATTTATTGAGATATTAAGAATATTTTCTATTAATGTTAAAAATTACCCGAAGAACAAATCAAATTCACTATAGCAAACATTCAATGAAAGTATGCCATTTTAAACTTGAAATTCGAAACAGTTTCATTCTCAGTTATACAATTGTGGAGGATTTTAGAAACAGCTAACATTTATAAATCAAATATATATATATATAAGCAGTTCACTAATTCATTACTTTTAATTATTGAAAGAAATCAAACATCCATGAATATTTTATTTGTTAAAGTTTCAAACAAAGTTTGAGTTTCATCAAAAAAAGCAAAAGACAAAAAAAAAAAAAAATACGTTGTTAATCGCAGCTTCGAGAAAGTTAAAATCCTAGCAAGAGGTTTCTTAAAACTGTATTCTAGAAGTGCTACGTGTTTCAATCCAATCAACTGTAAAATTTTCCTGCTTGTTATAGGGATCAATAGCTTGTTTAATCTGATGCTGTGTATTATATTTTTAATAATTTAAACATTAATAGTTTATAAAAAAAAACGTGCATGCGAAGAACTTTTGTAATTTCACTGTTATTGTCTCATGATATTTTTTGCAATTTTCAATCTATATGTATGAGTGTGTGAGTATAATGATCTACAAAGGTAGTTTTGAGAAGTTGATACTAGAAATAAACGACCTTATAACACCAAAATGTTGTTTTTACTTAATTAAACCCTCAACATTTGGCTTTACAGCTTCTTCAGGAGCATTCACTAAAATAAATTAATATGTCTAAATTAAGAACGTTGTACAAATACACGATAT